CCCCCTCCTCTCAACTCCCTGCAAAGAATTTGTGAGATTTGCTTCTGTGGCAAATCTGCAAAGCCAAAATCATCCTGGGACCCCTCGATGGATCTGGTTTCTTTCTCTGCACCGCAAAAATCTGCTTTTGCTTTCCAAAACTCTGCTGCAAATCCACTCTGGGCTCCGGAGCTTTCGTTCAGGCATGCTACAAATCTGGCCGAGGCTAAGGATGGAAAATGCACAAGGCTTTGTGCTGCCGAGGGGCTTCCTGCCGGTTCTGCTTCCCCTTTGGTGGCCCCCAGCCCCATGGCTGGGCTGGGAGCTGTGGGATTGGGGCAGCTGAGGCTGGAGGAGCACTGCTGAGGCTGCTTTGGGAGCTGAGGGGGCTGAGGTACCACTTTGTGCACCTCCAGGAGTATTTTGGAGAGGGGGAGCTGGGAGGAACTGTGCCACTTAGTTGGGACATCCCTATGTCCAGTGCTGCCTTTGCCCAAACCAGCACCTGGAAACAGCTCAGCTCACCTCTGGGAAAAAGATGGAGCCCCAGCCTGGCAGGTAATTAAACATCCCGCTTAATGAGACTGTTGAATGTGCTAATAAATATCAGCAGCTCTGAATTAGGGGGGTGGGAGATCTAACCTGTGCTTAATGAGAAGCTGTGCTCTGGTTCAGTCAGTGTACCTCATTGCATAGTGCATCTCAGGGCTGTGGGAAGGCTCCACCTGCTCTCATCACTATTACCTGCAGCGATGGTCCCCTGCGATGCTCCTCAGCTGTGGCATCCCTCCTGGGTTCTAACATGTTCACCCATCACTACTTCCATGCCCATCCCAGGTTGCCCCGGCCATGCCCTGGGCTGATGTCCTGGCTGATCCCAACGGGCTGAGGCTGACAAGCAAAATCCCACCCTGGAAAAGAGGCTGTGGGCCAGATGACTCAACACTGTGTCAGTTCTGGCAGGGCGGAAGGCTGCATGACGGCCTGGGGCAAAGCACGTGTCAGCAGGGCTGCTGGCCCGCCGGATGGCTCTCAGAGCACAGAGGCTGATTCTAATCCTAACTTGAATCTCCTGTGATTCAGCTCAATACCCATCTCTGCTTCCTGCCACTCTGACCCTGGCTGCACATGTGTCTCAATGGAGTCCTGGCTGCATCCCACTGGACCCTGTTGGGGACGAGGCCCCACCCCATGTGCCAAGCAGGGCCCACACCACCAGGCTCAGGTTTCCCCACAGCAAATTCCTGCCCAGAACAAACCCGTCAGCAAATTCTTGGGGAAGCGGCTGCAGCTGTGTGCAGGAGGGATGCAGGTTTCCCAGGGGGCCCCCAGCAGCACTGTCTGGGTGGTGAGGGACACTGTCACTGGGCACTCTGCAGTCCATCACCTCTGTGGGTCATCCAGTTCCTGGGGGCTGTAGGGACTGCCCTCTCCCCAAGCATTCTGCTCAGCATCCTCCTGCCAGCTTTGACACCTTGGGGTCAGGAGCACGGTTCCCATCCCCCTGCCACATACCAGGCTCCCCCCTGACCCCAGGCACAGAGCAAGTAGGAGCTCAGCCAGGTTCTACAATGGGATGCAGCCCTATGAAGTTGGGGCGAGGGGGCCGTGCTCTGCAATCCCACTCCCATGAAAATAGCATTGCCCGTTGCTGTTGCTTTTCCCAGCCTAGTGCTGGTGCTCTCCTTGCCACCAGTGTGTCCGCCACCCACGAGGTCATCTCCAGCACTTCCACTGAGGGCCATTTCTGGCTGGGATCTGGGGACCTGGACTGGGAACTCTGTCCCCATTTTGCTACAGGGTGCCCCATCCCATACGAGCTGCAGTCAGAGTGTTTGGGGGGTCCTTTGCATTTGCTGGCCTAAACACTTCCAGGGCCCTGGAGGCTGACGCTGCTCTTGAAGCTGTGGGGACAGGCTATGGGGTCTCTGCTGCCACCTCCAGGGCGCTGCTGGCCTCGTCTGCGTCCCCTTGCCATCACAGCCTGACCCTGTCCCTGCAAGGTACACGGCCCCCCCACACCTATCTTCACCTCAAAGCACCCCCATCATGCGATCACCCTGGGGACACCCCTCCAAGGGTACAACGTCGTGCCCCCTGTAATAGGGATTTGGGGACGCAGCCGGGGAAGGTGACCCCCACCCGGCACCCCTTACCCCAGGGACACTGTGGGGAGGGGGGAGCCTGCCAGCGGGCAGCCCATTTCCAGGCGTCATTAAAGAGCAATTAGCTGGAAATTAAGCTGAGAACAAGTATTGATTAGCTCATTAAGGCTGGGGGAGCGGGAGGGATTGCTGCCGCTCGCCCTCATTATGGGCAAGGTTAAAGCCTGTGGTTGGGCGGCTCATTAACAATGCCAGGGAGCAATCGATGCCCCCCCTCCCCGCCGACCCTGACAGCCCCAGCACTGCGACCTGTGGGATAGGACCGTGTCACTAGGGTGGCAGCGGTGCCACCTGCAGCGTGTCACCATCCAGAGCTCCACATCTGCTGCTCCCAGAGCAGCACGAGCTGTCCCTGCACAGGTTGGGGGGGGGAGGGAGGGGGCGGGGAGAAGTGTCATCATTATTTTTGTTTTCTTTGCTCTGCCCTGGAAATATATTGTATTCTCAGCTAATCCCGTTCAATTACACCACAATAAAACACATAATAAAAACATAATTCATTTTTCCTGAGCGCTCTCTCTCTCCCCGCGTCTTGGCAAGCTATTAAAAATTTGTCTTCATTTTTCTGGCAAGAGCCTTGTACCTTTTCATCTTTAATTTATGAGAGCAGAACAGCAATTGACAAGCCCTTATTGCACGGCGAGGGGCTGCATTATTTATAAGCCGCCGATGGCTGGCTCGGGGGAGATATGTGCAATATGCCGGGGCTGGGGAGAGTGGGGGCTGCTCCTGCATCCCTAATGGGTGCTGCGTGCTCTGTGCTGAGCATCCATCCCATAGTGTCCCCATGGCAGCCCCCAGCCCCTTTCCATGGCATGGGCAGCGGTAAGCAAGGGACTTCTCTCTGCTTTTGTATAAACAAACCTGCCTTTATTATTTGGTAGATACAGGTATGGAGTATGTATTACAAAAATAACCAGAGGAAACAACGATGTGCTTAAAGCCATATGAGAAGGTCCATGGAGGAAGCCACGCAGGAGCCGAGCCTTGAGCAAAGGCTGCATTAAAGGGAATAAAATGGGGACTGCTGAGATTAAAATGTGCCATTTGCTCCGGGGAAAGCCAGATTACAGCCCTGGATCAGCACATAGCAGAGCGCACGGGGAGCTGCGCACGCACACCCAGGCTGGAGCGGCCTCCTCCACTGCACTGTATATCTCATAGTGCTCAGCCCTGGCTTCTGGGGGGTTGTGTTCTCTGGATGCCATGCCCAAGGGTGGGAGCATCCATCTGAGGCTCTAGCCTGGGGGATGCCATGGGACACAGCCTGAACACAGCCACATACATACTGGGTATGGGAAACACGCAGGATGGAGACGCCTGGTAGGACATGGGTCAGAGCTTGCAGGGACACCAGCAGCACAGCCACCCCATGATATTGCCCAAGGTCCCTGCAATGTGCAGCACCGCAGGAGGATGGCAGCAGCACATGAGGCCCCTTTGTTCCTACCCTCATGAAGCACCGCATGCCCAGTGCCCAGCCCTGCTGCCAGTAGCCTTGTGCCACCAGGGAAATATCCCCTCCTCCTGGCACCGGGCTGATGGCCCTCAGGACAGCCCCATGAAGGGACGGGAGAGCAGCAAAGCACAGCTCAGGGGAGGTGCTAGGATGGGAGCCCGCTGGGTTTGGGGGCTCAGCTATACCCGAGCACCCGGGGACAGAGGCGGCCACAGGGCAGCAGCTGCATCCTTGGGACGCTCTGAGCTCAGCGACGCAGCGGCCCTGTGCTCACAGCCCCTTGTTGAAGTAGACAGTGTGCAGCTGTGGGTCCACCTCCCGGATCTGAGCTTGGACGCTGGGCTCCAGGCGGCTCACCTGCATCGAGCTGCCAAGAGACATGGAGCGTTGGGGGGGCATTTGCAAGCTTTTGGCTTGAAAGGAGCAAAAGCATCTCCAGAGAGCTGCGCAAAATGCCCATCCTTACCTCTTCTGTGGGAAGAGTGCGCAGCACAGCGGGGTTGCAAACACCAAGCTGCATGGAGAAGACAAGGAGAGCAGTGGGGGCAGCCAGGAGATGAGGAGGGGCCCTCCCAGCCCCAGACCTCAGTCCCCAGTGTGGGGCCAACAAGGATGCTGAGGCATCATCTGTCCTACCAAGTGCAAACCTGTTCCTGGCACAGGGCATCACCCTCATCCCACCTCCCTGGGGTCACTTACCAGAGTCCAACCAGGCCAACCTGCAGGGGAGCGTTCAGGTACGGGTACCGCTGTAGGGGACAGTTTGTTGTCAGTGGGATAGGCAGGTGCTGTTCCCATGCAGGGTTCCAGCACAGTGCTAGTGGGCTATCCCTACGCCCACTCTCCTGCCCCTGTACCTTCAGGAAGGCTCTTTTCTCCAGCACATTCATGATCACCGGGGGGATGGCTGGGGCAAAAGAAAAGGAAATGAGCTCCATGGAACCTGACTCACATGGCCAGGGCTGGGG